TATTTCTGGCAAGACTGAGTATAAATTTCCCTATAGCTTCTGAACACTTTCTGCTTTCCCAGGCCATTTATTTCTCCTTTGTATGTTGATAGGTTTGTGTCTATAGGTATACATTGTTTTTTCCTTTGAGGGTTTTTGAGTATCACATTTTCACGTGTTGGTGGGTGTCATGACAGTTTTATTCAATTATCACATTTCCAGGTGTCACTTTGTGGTGTCATGTCATTTTCCTTGTGCTAGTTGGTGATATGCGATTTAATTGAGCTATTATCAGATAAATGGCAAGTTAACTAGTATGATAATGCAGTGATTATGCAACCTATGTATGTGTTGTTTGAATTGTTAGTAGGGGGATGTTTTTGTTGAAGTTTTGATTTTCTTTTTTGTTATTGTAACATTGGCAGTAATCAGGTTAAGAGATTTTTAGTTTTTATAGTGATAAGCTGGTTAGTTTTTGCTGATAGGTGATGTGTATTGATGCATTAAGTTTCTTATAAATTCTTTGCTTCTGTTTAATTTCTGTGATTTGTAACTATTTACAATAATATATATATATATATATATATATATATATAATTTATTATATGAGATTAAAACAAAAATATGTTAAAAATTGCTACACAATAGGTTTCATGTTTCAGCACTAAAGTTTTGCCTCTTCAGGTGATGGTAAATAACAGGTGAGTAAATAATTATTTTTAAATTTCAAAAAATCCATTTATACTCTATTTACTTTTATCCTGGAGATATCTCTCTCTCTCTCTATATATATATATATATATATAAAATCAGATATAAATAAAATACATCTGTAAAAAGACAATATGAATTGTAACTATTGACACTATTTGAACTATTGTCCTCATCTTCATTGTCATATTGACAACATTTTACTTGTCGTATGCTCCAACCTTCTTCAAGTCTTATATGTTGGAATTTCAAAACAAACCATTTATTTCGTCCACCAGGGTAGATTGTTTTAGTTCCATATACCATGCCTTTTATGGACATCTCAATTTCAGTTAATTCCCTTTAGTAACTCAACTCTCCAAGTTTTTTTTTTTTGGTCCCCTCTGCTGTGGCCAGGTACTGAACTCACAACTCTTTGGCTCAAGTCACTGGATTACTTTAATGCTTTTATCCACTGAGCCACTTTGGAAAGTGCCTGAAAACCATACCATGAGTTGGATCAAAGTCCTACAAGTTAAATTTGATAGACAGAATTATTTGGGAGCCATTGATGGTCATTCTAGGACAAAATTACAAGCCATCATGACAGACTTTCAGCATACTAGTCTTGTTCAGACTGTTGATAATGCACTCTCTCCCAGAAACTATAACTAAAGTCTGCTCAGCATTAGTTGATGTATAAACCATACACAAAATGTACCTGAACTGGCATCTGCAACAGGAATTCACTAGCTGCTAGATGCAGACAGGCATACTTGGCCAGCTACTTATACATATATATATATATATATATATATATATATATATATATATATATATATATATATAATGTGTGTGTGTGTGTGTGTGTGTATTTGGGCAGCAATCCCGAGCACTTTGGCCTATACTTTAAGCCAATATCAAGGATGATTTTATTTTTACTTTTAACTGAAAGTATGGATTGTTTTTTTATGCATGTATCTAGAGTTATAGGAAAGTTTTATTTTCCAAATACAGGCAGCACCATTGTGGCTGTATTCAGAATTGACATTATTCAGTGTTGTTTTTTTTTGTAATTAATAATGCTTTCATTATTTTTAGCCTTTTTTTTTTTTTTTACATGTGGATGAGGCTATTATATTTGCAATATCAATGAGTATGCAGATGAAGTATTACAAGAACACAAGAAAAATTAAATATAAAACTTAACCATAGTACCTTATCAGTCATTTTTAATGAAATTATATATATATATATATATATATATATATATATATATATATATATATATATATATATATATATACATACACATATTACGTGTGGACATATAAATTGCTAATACATGGTGATCATCAGTTTAATGCTTTAAGCTGGATCAGACATCAAACTAAGAGTCATCATGATAGAGAGATATACAATTCTATATAAATTTCAACTGTTCAAGTGATATTGTTCACAAAGTATTTCAGGACAAAAACTTACTGCTATAGTTTGAAGATGAACAGAGAAGAAATAACAAGATATATATCAAGTATATAGGGTCAAGTCTACTTCCTCATGTTTAGCAACTCAACATATATGCAAATAAATAAAAAAAGTGTCAGCTATAAATATGGCCAATTGTTGGAATTGCTTCAGATGTTATACAGTGATAAATGGCTTTTACCTGGAAATACACTAACTGTGATGGATCTAGTTTAAGACCAAGAGGGAATGAAAAATTTGATTTTTTAGTTTTGCATTTCAGTAGAAAGTGAGAAACTAAGAGGATTAAAATATATCTGGTAATATATTTAGCATTTCTTAGAGAAGATGAGGGAACAGAAACAATTAAGTGTCTGAGGTCATTAACATTTTAAAGGTTTTATTGTTTATTTCTTGGATTATTGTTTCACTGATGCTATTATTCACAGGTGTGAGAAATCAATAGTTCCAATTCCTCACATGCAAATATGGATTTTTTTATACTATAAGATGTTTAGCAGTTTGAAGAATAAAGTTGATTGAGTCAAAGGAGATTAATTATGTTACTGTGTTAAATCATTTTGAAAAGGAGGGGAACAAGTCAAATACACAAGTTAATGTGAGTCATGATCAAATCAGGTTTTATCTTTTTGATCATACTGATATTTCTGATTTTACAAGTATATAAATGGACATATTCATGTAAGCATGGGATTATAAACATTGTTCAGATATATATATATATATATATATATATATATATATATATATATATATATCCTTCTCTGTCCTAGACATTGAGTTCTACCTGGATCCTTCCTCTTGGAAAATTTTTTTTTCTGAAAATATACATGTATGGGAATTTTTAGATATATTTTCATATGTATATTTTATATTTTATATATATATATATATATATATATATATATATATATATATATATATATATATATATATATATAGGATTAAATAAGGTATAATATATCTTAGCGGATGATGTTATATTCAGCAACCATATTTGCATGTGAGGAATTGGAACTATTGATTTCTCACATCTGTGAATAATAGAATCAATGAAGCAATAATATCTTACATATCTATAAGTCTACCATTTGTCCATGCTTAGAATATTGCTGTCACATATGGTCCAGTACCCCTGCTATTTACCTTGAGTTCCTTGATAAAATCCAAACAAGAATCAGCAATATTATTGGTCCTGAACTGTCAGCTCAGTTCCAGTCACTTTCCCACCGCTGTAAAGTTACATATCTATGTCTTTTCTATAAATACTTTCATGGTAATTGTAGGGAATGAGCTCTTTGCTATGGTACCTAGAGTTTTTGAATTTAAGCACAGAACTAGAATGGCATCAAAATCTGATAAATTTAAAGTTGAGCTGACTAGATGTATCCATAAATTCTATGGTAAGAATTTCTTCTCTTGTACTTCTTGATTGTGGAACTCATTTCAAGCTCCTTGCTTTCCAGCCAACTTTAATCTGAAAAAATTTGAATGCAATGTCAATTGCCATCTACTGTCCTCCTGATTACTCTCTTTTCTTTCTGCTCACCATTAATGTTTCTGTTTTTAATTCTTCTACACCCTGTAACCCCCTTCTGGTTTAGTGGCATTACTGCCTTGCTTGGGGTGATTCAATATATATATATATATATATTGGCCACTAATATTAACAATTATATATATATATATATATATATATATATATATATATATATATATATATATATATAACACACACACAAAGATAAAAAAAAAATCAACCCAACACCAATAAAAAGTGCATAAATTATTATTTTTTAAATTAATATAAATTAACGAAAATGAGAAAATCAGTAGTCAATAGCCAATACCTCTTGACAAGAGGATTGAACGATTACAAAAAAGGATTCATTTATGAAACTCTGGAGTTTGGGTGCTGAAAATAACATCAGCTAAGTGATAAATTTTATATTTGTATTAATCCTACGTGTGCATATATTTTTGCATCCATATGCAAAAGGTATACAGTAATTGTTCAGTAGATAGATTCAATACTGAACCTCACAAACATGATTAAATAGATAACATTTAGATAAACATAACAAAAGATTAATATCAGAAGCAGATATTAAAATGAAGAACTCTTAAATTTATTTCCCAGTTTAGTAATGTAGTGAGAGGCTAGTGTGCTTTGTTTGATAGAAATCTCAATCAGACAAGACGATCTTAGCATTATAAATTTGAGTCTTGAAATTTGTAAATACCATGATAAACTGGGCTCCCTAGCCTTGAGAAGAAAAAAAAAACTGAATTCAAAATGATGGAGAAAGCAATGAGAAACTACTCCACTATCTTTCCAAAAAATGCATGGTGATTCACAGATAAAGGAAAGGAATGTGTGGAGAATTAGGATTGGTTATGTCCTTAAGGAGACATGGTATTTATTTTATTTTAATTTATTTTTAAAGAGAGAATGCAGTATATATCTCAATCAATAAAAAAAAAAAAAAAAAAAAACTCATGGGATGGAAGTTAGTGATTTGTAGACAAATTGAATTGGTAGGTAGTAAAATTATTTATTCAGTAAACAATAGAAAATGATCATTTTTTTTTTTATAACAATTACGAAAGTCCAAATCTCCACAAATTACATCCATGACATTTGTAAAGTGCAATAACTACAAACACTTGAACAATATAAAGGCTTTTGTAGAAAATATATTGCAATCTTTCTAGAAAGTTGTATGAAAGGTTCAGTCACATATTTATAGAATTTCAAAGTGTTTTCAGTTTGCAATTTATTATACATTATGTATAGAGTGAGAAAGAATTTGGTTGATCTCACAAGAAAATAAGTCACTTACCATGTGTATAGTCTTCTTTAAATGTGACATTTCCCTTTTCTATAACATCTGTGAAGGACGGCCAACCACACCCTGAGTGGAACTTTGAATCAGACGTAAAAAGCTTATTATCACATACAATGCAGGTGAATATGCCTTCTTCGTTCCAGCTCACGTATTTGCCAGAATAGGCTCTGAAGGAAGAAAAATAAAAGTATACAAATGAAGCATTCCTTATATACTGTCATGAAAATAAGCATCATCTTATAGCATAATTTATAATATTATGTCACTAATTAGGTCATCTTAAAAAAATGGCTTTTACACTATTAAGCCAATAAAAGATTTCATGTATAACATCAATTTTCTATTGCATACAATTTCTTACTCTTCTGAAAATGGGCAATCTTAAAGATATCATCATTATGTAAGAAAATAAAAAATAAATACATGTTAATATATAACTTAACAGAGTGCTTAGTATATCATTTTTTTTTTACTTCTCAGTTTACAAGATGTTAACACACACACATACTCAAAAGTTAAAAGCTTCCTATGTTATATCTATAGACTCTCCAGAGTGCTGTTTTTAACTTTCTCTTTTTGAATAAAAATTAAAAAAAATTACAAACAGGCAATTACTCAGAGAAGTGTTTCAAACTGACAATATAAGTTCATATCAACATTTTGCATTATTTTTTTTTACCATTGAAGAAAGATGTGAAAATAAAAGTCATTTTATATACCTCAAAATATAGAATTGATTTTTTATGAGATGTAAAATATCAGAACAAAATCTTCACACAATTTTACAAGAGTCCTCATGTACAGTCAGCTACACAGTAGCAAAAGAAATGTGGGCAGACCATTTATCAGGTACAAAGACAAGCTGAAGAGCAATCTTGAAGTTGTCAGAGTACCACATGCCTTTCAGCAGATGCTCCTGGAGCAAAAGGAGTGGAGAGTATGGCACGATGACATTAAAGTATTTAAACTTAGACACCACCAACATCTAAGGGAGACAACAGTAAGGACTAAACAATCTGCACTAAGACCATCAGCCTTGTCTCAGAACACACAATTTTCTACCCAGTGTGGATCTTGTGGGAATGAAGTGTTATATTTGACAGACATTTATTAACTAACCTATAAGCTGCTGTGCACTCATATGCTGAAACTGACTGGAGAGTCCATTATATATATATATATATATATATATATATATATATGTGTGTGTGTGTGTGTACTTTTTAACCTAATTTGAATAAAACATCTGTGGGACAAATGTTTGTAAAGCTCAACAACAATAATAAAAGTAATAATGAAATCACCTATGAGCATGTTTAGATAAGGAATGTTGCTTTTTAGATGAAAAGCATAGGACCTGTAACAAGACTAACTCACACACACACATTCCTAGAGCACATGCTGCCACAGAATAAGGTTAATAAGCTAATCTCAGTAAGTTTAATCCTCACAATGCTCATTACTATGTATGACCTTGTGCCAGGCTAAGATAGACTTAATAACTATATGAGAGTGTAATGAAAAGTTATTGACGAAACCCATTTTCCAAAATCTAAGCAACTGACCAAATATTTTTGGGGAAGTGCTTCTTGGTTGGGCCAAGAACTTTTCATTCTCCTTTTGTAGAAACCAATTCATTATGCGCTTGCATGCATACACATTCAGATACACAGAAAGTAAGGAGGATTTGGTTACTGATAGTCAATAAATAATTGCAAATAGATAATATAATTAAATGAGATCATAGAAACATAGCAGATCATTTCATATTGACTATTTGCTAATCTTTTTACTCAGAGGGGAGTAGTTGAAGTAAAAGTAAGAAAGAGGAGATGATTGAGAAAAACAAGAAAAAAAAAAAAAAAAAAAAAAAAAAAACGTTCTGACACAGAAGAAAAAAAAAGGTTGAATCTGCAGGACAAATGATCAATAAAAGCATCTTTGACTTCACTCAATTCTAAGTAGCATGATAACTTTTTTTTCTTTCAATGGAACTAGCAAAATGAAAGTATAGTCTTATGGATTATTGCAAACAGATGCTGAAATGTAAAAAAAAAAAGTCAATAGTTACAGGGAGATGTTCCAAATATCACTAAAATAAAAAAAAAATAAAAACTATAGAAACCTGATAATATATTGTAAAATAAGGTTTTGATTTGTGCAAGAGACAGTACAAGAAAGAGATTGACAAAAAATTTCAACTTCCACTGAAGCAGCTTCAAGTTGGGTATGGTTTTTTTTTTATGTGTATTCATTTTCTATGCAGCCATCAAAGAAGAGAGAGAGAGAGAGAAGAGAGAGAGAGAGAGAGAGTTATGGCTTACCAACCTTTTGTGGGTTATTTAAAACCAAAACATGTTTGAATTGTATAAGAATAATACCTTTTGTTTGCAAGTGAATAGTCTATTAGTAATCTTTGGGAATGAACATAAATTATATAACAATACAGTCTATCTTACTGTTTAATCCATAACCTGGGGGAGAAATGAAATCATACCTTTCCCGAAGGAATTGGTGCATAACTCAATGTAACAAACTTGACTGGAATTTGAACTTGGCTCTCCAATTTCTCATTCATTATCCACGACACCACTCCCACGTCATTGAATAAAGAAAGATAGTGCTTGTAGTTTGAGACAGATTTACAAAGATTTATTGTGACACTAGAAATAGGAAGGCAAGAGATCTGTTCTATTTATCAGAGCAGTGAATTAGCAATCAAAATGCCTAAAATTAATTGTAACTTGGTTAATGATGCTGGTTAACACCAACTCATTTAATAAAGCAATAAATTATATTAAATTAGTAGGAAGATGTTTCTTCTCAAAATTTGTGGGTAACAAAAATATAAAAAAATTATAATGAACAAGAATCTTCAATTATTATAAATAGTAGCAAGAAAAAAGCAATTCTAAATTTGCAACACTTAAAAGGACATTGATAAGCATTAGAAAAGCAATGGGTGCAATTCAACTTAAGATTTAGGTGATGATTATTTGAATAGATATTAAAACAAAATCAAGTATCAAGGAAATAATTATATAGCTGCAATAAAATAATAAGGCATAAATCTTGTCTCTTTTGCAGAATGAGCAGATTAAGATAAAGCATTAGTTTAGTTGCTATGTACTTAAAAATTGTGTACAGATCAATAAGCAATTTAAGAGTTCAATTCTCAGAATTATACCTCTTCTCTCTCATAAAGAAGATATATATGTGTGTGTGTGGGGGGGGGGTAGGAAATTTAGAAGTGTTTGTTTTGTATCTTTGCACTCATGATCCCTGTCATTATTGGACAGTATACAAAACTCATTGATACCTAGTAGATGGGACATAGTTGTTTTGTTTTGTTTTTTTTTTTTTTAAATATATGAGTGATATTTAATTGCTTGTCACCTTTTTTGCTTTTTTCTTGTAAAGGGGAAAAACTTAGATGCCTCTTAAGTACAACTGAATTATACGGATTAAAACAAGCAAATTATTGCTTTCATGCTATAGTGCATTTGCAACAAGATGTAGAAACAAAATGCTGGGAAAGTTTGTACTTTTTTTAATTAAAAGAAAAAAATCGAAAACAAAAGAGATCAACCAGAATCAAAATTATTTTATTAATTCTAACTATGAAGTGATGACATACTTCCACTAAAGACTGCATAAAATCTTCAGAGAAAGAAGTCAAATTTCTAAAGTCAGATTTTATCTCAACTGTTTTTTGGACACTCCTCATCCTGTACTTAATGAAATAGAAAAAAAATGCATTTATAACTTTGTCAATAGTGTCCAATTAAATATATATATATATATATATATATATATATATATATATATATATATATATACATATATATATTCTAATGCCATACCTTTAAGATGCAAATACATTTATATTAGAAATTCCTCCAATTCAATAATATCCTTGTTAAGTAGGTTTACATTTCAGCCTGGGAAAATGTAAATAATTATATATCATATACAATAGTCTACTGTACAAATGTTGTATGCAATAGCCTATCATTACAAATATTGTATGCAATGGCCTAGCTGTACAAATGTGTGCAATCGTCTATCAGTACAAATATCGTATGCAATGGTATAGCTGTACAAATATCATATGCAATTGCTTACCAGTACAAATATTGTGTGTAATCGCCTATCATTAGTGACTGATAACCCACCTTACACATAGTAATAATAACCATTTTAAAGATTATAATCATTCATTTAAATTGATCAACAAAGTATCTTTTAGACTTTTGCCCAATTTTAGCCTTCAATTGAAGTGAGAAACTAAAGCATTCAAAGAAAAATATAATAAAAAGTCTAAATAAAACTATGTGTAAATATTAGTTTCATAAAAAAAGAAGCTATTATTGCAGATAATTTTATGAATGTGCATTCTCTTTTGTTTTGTAATATTTTGATCTGATAATAGTCTAGTATTAATTTTAAGTCTTCCATCTATCATCAGAAAAGAATGCTTTATAATGTCAAGACATAAAATGTTGAATCAAATCCTAAGAATCACTATTGACACACATATATATATATACATATACACACACACACACACAATAATAATTATGATAATAAAGCTGAACCCTTAATTAGGTACCTCCAAAAAGAGTATATGATGATGAAAAAAATGCCCCAAACTTAATAAAAACAAAGTTTTATCATCAAAATTTTTGTTATTATTAAGAGAAAAGACCAAATGATTTTTTATTATGAAATCATATTTTTTGATCCTTTTTAGAAGGTTCAAAATTTTAGTTAAAAAACTTTTGGTTTTTAACACCAGTGGTAGGGTGGTGTGAGGGTGTTGGCAAAGATTAGTATAGGAAATGTTAGCATCATTTTAGCAGTTAAAAATACATTGATTTGGAAATTCTTGTAAAAATCAAATAATTGTTGGAGTTTAATGAAACTTACATGACATATTCATAAATAAATGAAACTATTTTAGGTATGTTTATCTTTTTAGGAAATCTTAGTAAAAATCTGTTATGACCCCACCAAACACACACTTATTTAATTTTATGAAATTTTGAGAAATTCAATTTTTTCCCCATTTAATGTTTATATTAGCTAAAACAGGACTCCTTGGAGAATTTAAATCATGAATTTTTTGCAAAACTGTTACTATAAATCTGTGCTGAATCATAATATA